AAAAACACCGAGAGGACAAGAGGAAAGGATCATGCTGTAAAATATTTTCAGACTTCACCTCCTTTGAAAATCTCCTGTTCATCATTTTATACAACTGAAATTGGAGAGTACTAAAGGAAAAATATTTACTAAGTTCAACAATGCAAACAAAAACTTAGACTGCCAAAGAAATAATACGGGTTTGAGTTAAGGGACTGTGGATCAATAGCTCTAGTTGCCTATTTGGTCACAGACTTCCTTGAAGTCATTAAGGAATCCAAGTCTTAGTTTCCCTTCTCTTAAAGTGAAATAATATTTTTCTCTCTCTTCTACCAAGAGCCTAATCTTTATAACATGAGGTCTTCAGACTCATCACCTGCTCATACTGAGGACGTAGAACATAATTTGTTTACAACAGGATTCTCTTTGGCCAGCATCTGACACAACGTGGCCCTGACTTTGAGGAGGCTCTGAGGACATTGCTGTAATGTGAAAACACTCCTGTGTTGCTTTCTCATCTGGAGTCTGTCAACATTCCTGACATACTGGAGCACTGATCCTGGACTCTGCTGCACCTGGGAAGGGAGAAGGGAAGGGCCATTTGGGCACAAGCTGCTTTTAGGGTCTTGACTGAAAAAGCTTGGGCTGTTTCTTGAGAGTACAGAGTGGCTGCTCAAGAATACAGATGAGCTCAAAGACTATGTATAAGAAATGAGTTTGAAAGTTCAACACGCTTGATTTCCAGCCCTCTAAATTTACTGCTCCAGGCAACACGGCTCCTGTCAATTTTCAGGTGACAAATTCTCTCTCAGAGGGTTGGCTGCTCCTTCATTCACTTATTATTTAGACAATACAATCCGACCTCAGTTTGAGTAGGGTTGATCCTTATAATGTAAGAAAATCAAAAAGATCAAAGCTGGAGGTGACGTGGCTGCATGAGGCTATTTTAGTGAAGCTCTGCTTCAGGGATTATTCAGACATTTCATTTCAAACAGCAGTCACTATTGACCTAGCTCACACATGCAAAGGGTAATTTCATAAACTAAAAACTTTCTTCTTACATTTCAACATTGTTCCACATATTCTCGATAACAGAATTAGTTCAGGCTCCTTTAGAATAAATTGTACATTACAGCAGCTGAGCACTGCAACCCCAGCTCCTTGTAAAACAAACATCAACTTCGTGTTGCTTCAGGTCCTACTAATGCTGTACGGGGGAAGCACTTTATTTATTCCTTTAGCAAAGAGGAATAAAGAAATGAGTCCAGGCTTAAAAATAAGACATCAAAAGGGGGTTTAGCAGGAGACAAAAAGAGCTACTTTCTCATTCTGTGATAACTGGGGTTATAATAATGTCCTTTTTCTTATACAAAAGAAAGGACTGTGACATTTCCAAAGTGAGAATCAGCACTACTTCCAAAAATCTGTTCAAAAAGTAACAGTACTCACTTCCACATTTTTTCTTCCTTTTTTCCATTCTCCCTTCTATAATTCAAAGGGCGCTTCCTCTCCACCTGGCTCATTTGCACTGTCCCAGTGTCAGCTCTATCTAGGATTTCATATCACCCAGCTATCTCAGTGCCTCAGGCCCATAGTATTTCTCCTATTTATAGACCTAAATCTGCAATTTCTTGCTCCCAGGCAGGCTGCTGCACCTACACAAACTCCCACAGCCTTCAGGAGCCCTTTCTGCCTGGACAAACAGCCACTTTGCAGGAGCACAAAGGCAGCTTTCAGCTGGGCAAGGTCACGAGCATCCCCCTGCCCCTGCCTCTCTCCAGTGTTTCCAACAGCACTTGCTGCACTCCAGCAAGCTTTCCTGGGGCTGCATACACCACACCAAGCACAGCAACCCCTACCTGGAACACTGGAATGCCTAAAAGCAAATGTTCCCATCTTCCTGTGCATTCCAGGGTATATTCTAGGGCCCTGATCCCCAAGCACAGCAACCCCTACCTGGAACACTTGAATGCCTAAAAGCAAATGTTCCCCATCTTCCTGTGCATTCCAGTGTATATTCTAGGGCCCTGATTGCTCTCTCACATCCTGCACAATACCACAAGAGTGGAGAAGGAGTCCAGATAAAAAGGGGTTTGCACACACGTGGGCCCTTGATACCTCTCTGCTAGAGCGTTTCTGCATTGTACTGGTGCTATTCTCCCCCCAACTCTTTCAGTGCACTTCACTGCAGGTTTGCAGCAGGCTGGTTAATGTGGGGATATTGCTGATCATTCATCTCAGCACCAGCTGTCGCTTACTTCAAAAGCCGCCATACAGCTGGAAATACGCAACTGTGACTGATTCTCAGACAAACATTTACCTTGGCACGCACGGTGCAGAAGGCATCACCGCGTTCACCTCCGTTGGTGTAAGCAATTTGCATCCCTAACCATTGACAAACATTACAAATTGAGCACCTGGAGCTGTTACAAACTCCAAGTTCCCTCTGCTTTTTTAAAAACATCTACGTACTACCTGCAGCACTATATGCAACCTTGAACATGAGGCATGCCACAAGAATGAAAGTCAGCATTTCAGGTGAAAAAAAAATTATAAAAATTATATTAAAAATTATAAAACGTTTTTAAAATTATGAGTTCTAATAAATGCTGACAAGAGCAGCACGATTAGTGGTTTACCTAGTGCCTGCACTGAGTTTGGTGTGAGCTGAGACAGA